TGTGTAGTCGTACATATAGGGCACTAGCGATCGCTTCTAAGACTACTAGAAGGGATTATTCATAAAAAAAAAACATATATATATATATATACGCATCAGGAACTAATGCATCGACCAGCCAGCGAACACAGGAAATGGAACGCATATATAGAGTACACATGGACTGAAGCACTAACAGCTGACCCGATTTCTCCCCTGCAGAAGCAACCGGACCTGCCATTATGCAGACGGCAAGGAAAGAATCAAGACGATTCTCCCCTTTCGGCCAAATGCCTTTGTTGCTTCTTTATTGGTGCAGAGTATGTCGGCAAAGCCGATTCAACCCCGTGTCGATCAGCGTGCCAAGCAGACGGTGCCAAACAGACTGGTCAGAAGTGGCGGGGAGAGGAGTAACTGGGGGTGAACGGAACATCTTGCCTCCTGGTGTTCTGTACCCGGGCGTATCATAGCGTTCTATTCATTAGTTGATTCTACAAGTCGGGCAACAACGGCAGCAGCATGGAACAGCTTTGGCAAATCATTGGCACAAAGGCAGCTTGAAGGTTGATGGAGAAATAAAGCAAACAAATATTGTTAAGCACAAATGACGGCCGGCATATTGTAGGACGGGTTCGCATGTTAGCAACAAGGTAATATAATACTGTATCTCACTAATGTAGGTAACCTTAGAAATATACGAAGTGTGAAAATGCTAAGCTTCTGCGAACAATGCCCTGTATTCAGAAAATTCTATTGTGTTTCCTAATGATTCAAGCTATGTCTCTGGCACGCGGCTTGCTTTAGTACGCCCTTTGCATTGTTTGCTACGGCCTGAATCTACGGTCACCCTTCTAGATAACATGCATCAATTTATGCAAAAGGAACCGAAAAATCCTTGCAGTTTCGTTGCCCTTGGCTGCTTTCACTCCAAAGTAGTTCGCTCTCAGTTGGCCATGAAATTCGCAGGCTAAGGGGTTGTATAGGGCCGAGCTGAAACTCCAAGTGTTGCTCTTTTCATTTTGTATCACTCTTTCTCTTACAGGTTGGTCGGTTCACCTTGAAATACCCTCGTAACATATGTCACGAATTTACTTTTCTAATAAAAGTTTAGGATGGGCTAAAACTCTTTCGCTGCCCGAATTTAGCAAAAAAATTACAGCCCAAGTCGTCTTAATGAAGCTCATTCTAACCAGGCTTCTCCTATAACATCTATTAAGCTTTACCGATATTACTTCAGGACTTTTAAAAAAGACCAATCTTTGGCAACCAGGCCGATCACCGATTTTCAAAATAATCAAGACTATCCTTCCGATTGTAATATGGGTCAATCACAAGTTTCAAATCGCAGAAATTATTTTTTCATTTTTTGTGTTAATAACACGTTCAAAGTTGTCCCAAAGAAACTGTCCCATTGAAGAAGCGAACCCAATGAGAAGATAACGTTTGTGTATGCAGCTTAAAAGTTTTTTACAACTTTTCCTTTGATTTACGTTTGCTGAATTCAACAACTACAAATCATGCGGTCCTGAATTGCCGCTGATGAACTATTAAGTGAAGCAAAAATCCTGTCGTTGAGCTTTTAATTTATGGCCTTAACGAAATGCAGAATAGATTAAATTTAGATTGTGATAATTATTAAGTGACCGGGTAGTGTATGGTACAGCGTTTTGGATCGGCTTCATGCAAATGATAAAGCTAGAAAAATCGGGAAATTATTTGAAATTTTAGTGGCGGCTAAGATAATAAATTTTAGCACTGCACGGAGTATAGGTGTAAGCTTTGAAAATAATATTTTTTAAAAAAATCTGCTTTTTCAGTGTCTTATATTGAAAACATCTTTCTGGATTTCATCAGGACGCCTTTTTATACGCTTAACTTTATCTCAATATCGAACAACTTCATTTGCGATGCCGATCTGACGATATCTTAATTGTTTTACAGTACGAAGAAGACAGAATGACCTAGAGAAGAGACCTGAATTATGTTCATAAGCGTTCATACTTCTTCCTTGTCTTCAGTTGAATGACGTGGAATGCCAACCTATTCTCAAACACGGTGCACAATAAAAGCAGTTTTGCAAAAAAAAATCACAAACAAACCGTATCCTTAACAGGTATGAAAAGTTAGAAGTTTCTATTCAATACTATTAATTAGATGTTTCTCGAACCCTGGTGATGCTATGCAGCTATTTTAACTTTATTCTAAGCTTAACTTACGCTGCACACAGGGGCAGCTTGTACGTGTCCAGCCGCTATTTGGTTTTAGTTGTGTACGGATGTGTAGATCAATTAATTATTTTTTCATGCGCAAAACTATATTTACCGATATTGTACGATAAAAATTTAATAAACCATCATTATAACGTACCGTAGGTTTCGTGGGACATATTAATATTCGTGTAGAACTTGTAGATCTACACGGCTTCTTTTTCACAAGGAAAGCTTCGCAACTTTGTCCTTACTTACAGGACCCACAAATAGGACTACGTACATATTCTCATAGGCTTGAATATGATTCTAAGTTACATTGCTTGCTATTGCAGATGGAGGGCCAACTTCTTTAGGAAATGGATGAATACGATAAAAATACCGGTTCAGCGTAACGCGGTGGCTGCTGTTCACCTGCATGACTGTCCGTCTATGTCCACCACTGCTGCGCTGGTCATATGAGGCTCGAATTCTTGTAGTCCTTTTAAAGGTCCGTGGCCTTTCGCGTGTCGGCCACCTGATCGCCGAGACGATTTCGCCAGCTTCCGAACGTTTTTGTCAAAAGCATTTTACAAAAAACTATACCATTAGGTCAACAGGTCCCTGACAGAATAATATAACGAACACATCGTATTATGGTTAATTAAGAGAGATGACGACGTCTGTTCAATGGTTTGCGTCCTTTGTGCAGTAAATTTAAGACCCAAATCGACATTGACCTCTCCCCTGTGGACAAGTTATTGGAAATAATGGCACGAATCAGCCATGTTTGTCAGCGTATGTTTCTTGCATGCGTACGTTTGCGTGCGATGCGGCTAGGAACGAATCCTGTTTTTCCCAACGATTCGCACAAACAGTATTGATATCGATTTATCCTATGAGTTGCACAAATAGCAAATGGTTATTAATAATAATTGGTTTCAGATATAATAGGGTGCTGCGTATTGGCCTATCATTTACCAAAATCTCTATGTAGGAACAGCTAATTTTCAAAATGGCCCGTGCACTAGGTACATAATCGATTTAGAGAGGTACATCACCTAATTGAAGCATTTGTTACACGGTTGCCCCTCTGCTGTAACAGGTTAAGTTGACGCCGATGAAGCTTGCAATTTTGCGCACTGCCCCGGCTTTGTCGGCCTGGGTGCCTTCATACGTGAAAAGAAGCGTGACCGTTGCCGGCCTGAAACTCCGCCAACAATAACCGAACAGTTGCTCAAGATAACAAGCGTATTCAGCACGGTCCGCGCAGAAGTGACGGAGGAAGTGCTCGACGGTACCATAGTGGTACAGATCACTGCTTTGTGTGTGGTGAAACAATAAATCCAAAGCATCTCTAGGGTGCAGCACGACCACGACGAGACGGCGCAAAAATTCCATGGCATTATAACGGAATGACAAGCAGATACATCGCATTCCGTAAACCCATCTCGCAAATGCCCCTCATTGATTGCCGCAGACCTGCACATCTCATAATATAATTTGCCGCGATTTTTACATATGGATCCCGTAAAATGTAATTGAGAATCGTCGTTACGTCAGTATGTGCCAAACTTCTGCTACGTAACGATGCAAATGTCTTCGTCCAAAGGTTCATAAGCCAGAGCTTTGTGAAACGGCTTCTTTAGAACTCCAGGTGAAACACGGAGCTCCTCACGAGTACGACGAAATATTCACCTTTAGCCAATATTTGAAATGGTACTCAATAAACTTGGCTCTGCTTTACAAAGTTAGATTTTAGAAATGGATTCTGCAATTGGGCATTGAAACCTCACAGCTGTTACATTTGTTGCTATTATTGTTATCAACCTCTTTATCTAGACAAGTGTTAATTTAGCCGTTGGGCTGTGATCGGCCTACTATGCAAATCAGTTAATTCTAACGAAATTAAAGAAGAGAGTGGAGTGGAGGTAACGGCAGCGGCACTACAATGAATACTACCATATAGTCAGTTTCAAGCAATAGTTGATTCAGCCACGGGAAGATCAGTTTAAGAGACGCGGAGTACGGAAGGAAGTCATCGGTCGAAGCCCAGGAAGACTTGGAGGCGATAACGAGATTGCCGATTGCGGTGACGATTGATAGGGATTGCCCGACGTGTGGCACCGTTGACGTTAGCGGCGGTTTCAACGCTTCGTTAAGTCGCTAGCTGATCGATTCGCTACGTATTATCGCCTACGGTATTAGTGTTCGTTGATCTATTATATAGTTCAACCATGTATTGTTCGGAGAAGCACTCAAATATATCTTTCTATTCGTTTTTATCTATTACTCTCTGCTTGACGTATTCACATACACTCAAGATACATTTTTTCTACCAGAAGACTACAATTTCAAGATTCTCATATGAGGCCCTTAACCCAGTCCGCAGAACAGTGATGATATTGATTGAAGCATAGCAGCGTCACGCTGGTCGTTGAGAACGGCCAGCTACATGATGCAGCAACGTATATGGATAAAGTTAGGTAACTTTATGGGTAATAATGGTTTTGCATTTCAACAAGAGTCTCTTGCGAATTGATCAACTTCCAGAGAAGCTGAAGAAGCTTTTGCTTTTGCTTTTTATCTTGAGATTTTTGTTCACCTAAGTGTGTATTGATAACGACACAAGAAAAACAGTGTTTCGGACTCAGATAGTTAATCCAATTGTTGTTAAACTTTGCCTTGTCTCCCGTTACACACCGATAGCTGCGCAACCGTTAGGACACGTTCTATCTCATGCCACGCAGCGGATGCCTAGCGTGATGCTCCCTTACCTAGTGCAAAAAAACACCGTTTCAGTATAGAAACATTTATTTACACGATTTATTATTATTTGTGGGCTTACTATTGGGGCTTCCTTGCACGCAATGTCGCTGGTTACCAACTGATTATTGCACTGTCGATACTATTACTGCAATCGTTGTCATCCCGGTCATCATTTTATTGGCATTATTTAGTTAATCGTTTGTGTCAATTTTATTTAACATACACTAAAAAGGTTCATTGGGATTGACGTGGAAAAGAAATACTGGAAAATTGTTTTTTCGGATGTCCTCTATCGTAGAAATTTTAGCTGTCCGCTTTTTGCGACGGTACGTATTTATATATATATATATATATATATACTTCGATTCGACAGGTCGTTTGTGCTAAGAAGGTCGCTATGATGATCGCTCGCTGATGTTAAACATCCTCGCTTGCCTTTGTTTTACAACGATCTGAATTTAGCGCTTCCTGTAGGCTCTGATCTTCACTTTCGAGGAATCGTACACGTATAGTTAGGGCGAAAGATTGGTGTATTTGATGACTCGTCATCATTGAGGACCTAATCGTCTAGCTGCTTGAACTAATGTTATATATATTATATATATATTACTGTAAATTCACTTGGTGTTGTATATACATTCTGTACAATAATACCTGCCCATCCTGGTAATCTTCCAAGTGAACACACTTCGCTCTCTATTTTATATAATTTGTAGTATTAGTTGTTGATCATAGCTAGAACGCAGCATTATCGTACGCCATCTTGGAGAATTGTATATATATATATATATATATATATATCGTCGTAGTTGTATACAGTTGTATATGTACTAACTGCGTCCCTGCGCTTTCGCTATTTGATTCTATTTCCACTTTGTTTATACCTAGACCTATAGAATCCCTGTTATTCCAGCTTTTCTGTTTCGGTGGAAGGATGGCCACAGAGGCCCTGTTGCCCTTTATGACCTCATCCCTATCGACTGACATTCTGTTAAGCAAGCGATTTTTTCTGCCCGTAACGAGCAGCGTTTGAAAAATCCATATAAATGATTATTGACAAATATAATAGACGACAGACCGTTTTCGATAAGTACCTTATCGTCAGTCACTTCGTAGCTAACCAGTCTATTATAGTCGAGAGTGTTCACAATATGCTTTCAGCCAATCGTCTTCAGGCACTGTTTTCTAACCGGTGTTACCCGTTAAACGTACTATTACCGCAAGGTATCTCTTATTACTTCTCTATTTTTATGCCATTTCATAGAATTTTGAATATCTAAAGTGAAACATTTTTTGCCATCGCTTCGTTTCTAGCTTCCGCTTGTAAAAACGGTTTAATCCTTGTGAGGAACTTTTCATTGAAAGGCTTATGAGCTTCATGTGTTTCAACATCATTCTTCGGCCTCGCAGAACGCTGCTTCGTTTGTTCGCAGTGTCGCCATGGCGCGACGCCAGGGTGGCACTTCCAGTCAAATCATATACAATGAACAAGAGGAAATTCGAAATGCTATGTAATAGATAGAGGCCAACAAGTCGATCAGAGTGTACGCTCTTTCTCAGTTCTTACCCAAGCGATAATACTGCCCCTAACGTTTGGCATATTTCTGCTATGACTTAAGTTGGAAGATCTTTCCAGGCTCGTTAATTGTTTTTTCATTGTGCACCCTCTCGAATCATACTCACGACACAATAAAACCTGACAGCAGGCTAAATGTAATTCCAAAGATGTTTTAACTCACAAATACTGGATGCGTATTAATATATCGTTTGTTCACCAGAAAAAAATCACCACTAATGAGAATACGCTGTTTCTCTTACACATGGTTCTTGTGATCAATTCGTTGAGGTGTCTGTCGATGTTACTATCGGCTTCTCATGAGGAGTCCTGTTCACCAACGAATTGTAGGAAACCGTGAGCACTGGGAGGAGCAACAGGATGTCCAGGCGTTGTAAGACTACCAGGACTCGCGCCTGCTGCATGTGCAACAGGAGGCCTACTTGACGCATGCTGCTGGTGTTGGTGTTGCTGCTGCTGCTGCTGTTTTACAGACGCCATTTCAGCAGCGTGCTTCTTACGCCACTTTGTACGCCGGTTCTGGAACCACACCTGGAAAACAAGATAAATTAAGAGCTGAATATTATGACGAAAGTAAATACGGCCTCTTAAGCTTTATTATGAATAACGGCTAATCAATTTACAGTGCTACTGAAGCCTATTATAGGACCGCTGGACTGTTTGTTTAATCATATGTCAGGTACACACGTACGTAATCACGATATACGCCGCTGCAAATTGAGGATCTGGAGGAATCTGGATTCTGTCCATAATTTAGACCCGTAGTTTAGTGACATCTAATGTTGTCCTTCTCTCAGTTTTCGTACACGGGCTATGAATCTAAGGATAGACAAAAGATCGGATCAGAAAAACCGGACCTACGTAATGGTTCATCGATATCCAATGATCGCCTGCTCGATCAGGGTACGTAGGCCTCGGAGTCGGTTAGTCGAAAGGGGAAAAGGTGACCATTCGACCTGAATATCTGTACCGCAAAGATTGCGGTACGGATACAAAGGTCCGCTAGGACGCAATACTTCGTTCTCAAAAAGCTTTGGCAAAGGTATCGGTTCTTTTATATAGCGTTTCGTTTATATTTGGCACCGTACGTTCATTACGAAAAGCAGCTTTCGGTTAGCTAGTTACTCCCGTAATACAACCCGAGACCGACTATTTTCCCCCCATATATAGGACTTTTCGATAGCTTTCGAACTTGCTTGACTAGAAGCTTAATTGAGCGTTTAAAGACGCACGGTGCCTCGAACATGATCTTAATTAGACGTCTAATGATAGGCTAAATTTTACCCACCCTACATGTATATATCGATGATAATCTTCGTGATGTCAACGAGACAGGAGGGGTGTCTGTAATCGGTGCATGTCCAAGTTAACTAAGTTAGCTTCTGACAGTGGGACACCAGTGGGAAAAGCGGATGAGCAAGGGATCGCGTCAAGCAAAGGATGCAACAACAGACGATGGGCGCTTGGCGACTAGCGACACAGGCGAGTGTCTAGTGGCTACCCACTAATAAGATTAACTGCGATTCCATTTCTGTCGAATGAAACATGGCTGAATCATCGCCATGGTCAACTATCGCCGTCGCTATCGTCCGCCTTTCTGTGTGTCCATCTATTTTAACGATGACTAGAGCTCCTAACGTCCTGCCGGTCAAACAGTGACCATAGCTTGTGATACATAATAATATGTAGAATTAATCTATAGCTAGTGATAAGAACAATGGAACAGAATTGTGAATGCACGAATCCTATATCCAAATACTGTATATCCTATATACAAATGAAAAAAAAAAAAAAATAGTTTTAGCTGATCGCCCTTGCCGTTGATGTTAATCTTACAAACGATAAAGCTGACGGTCTGAAAACATAATTTGTCACAATTACCACGGCTATCCGCAAGTGAAATTGTTGCACCTTCTACTTTTGCTTAATACCATTTTTTCTTTAAGGAGACATCTGTAATTGGCCTCACCTAGTGTTTCTCGTGGTTTCATGTAAAAAAAAAGTTTTTTTTTTTTTTTTTTTTTTTTTTTTTTGTAAATTGAAATTCTCAGCTTATTGAAATTTTTTGGCATCGTTGGTACATTTTTCATCAGCAAGTAATAACAGCGCATAGGAAAATGATGGTCTATTCTCATGATCCATTATGGTATCCACCCTATTCGCAAAACAAAAGCATGTAAGGCCACTTTACTTTTTTACACCTCCTGTTTATCATAATCGACCTTTTCGATCGTTCTGACCTAAGCAGTACTGATTTGTGGAACTTCGTAAGACTGCGTGTCCTTGCCCGTTAGCATATGGAGCATAATGATGCGGTAAAGGTAGAAGCTGAAACTAATTCGAGCAGCAGCTAGAATGAATTTGAGAGAAAATCGTTTTCTAATTTTAAGAAATTAATTTTGTTCACCTTATAAGTCGAGATGTATGTTATCAGTGTTATACTATGTCGCCATACGTTTACTGACTTAGTCTCATGGACGTGTTTGCTATGTGGAGCCTCGATCGAGGTCGAAAAGCAGCACGTATCATACCCAAACGTCGTTCAGTGCAATTACCGCATCTCATTGGATCAATTCTGTGCTTCAGATTTCGTACCGTCTTTTGCTTAACGCAAGCTCATCAATCCTGTGCAGCCTGACGAACTAACTATCGTGTCAAGTTTAAGAAAGCTATAATGCTAAAAGGTGCCACTTTGTACTTAACCGCTGTGCAACTTATCCTCGCCGACCCCTCACCCTGCTGCGGTGCCGTCTAAAAGATGTTCTCACTAGAGGGTATTATTCAACCTTTTCGACGCACTCCTCTAGTCTACCAACAGATCTATACACTATCTCGAGTAAGAGTAGCAGAGCAGCGAGGATGGGAACGAGATGGATTGTTCCCGCCTTCCTCTGAACTATCTGATCATCGCCGCGTATGATACGTGACAGTCAACAGTTGCAACGAACTAAGCCAAGAGATTCTCTCTTTTCTCGGATTCACTGCGAACGAAGCTCCTATTGGTACTGCTTGTACGTTAATTCCGAGGGAATAAGCTAAGGACGACTCGAACACCGGCGCTTGCCAGTCAAGACTATTAGCATCACCGTGATTGTCCGAGCGGGGCGTAGTTGCGCTAACGCCTAGCAATCCCACTCACTCTTTCTCTGTTTTTCACTGTCGGTTTCTTCCTTGAACCCACTTGGCTTGTAGATCCTCCGCAACACGTCAGTTCTATTCGTCTATTCAGGACAAGAACGCTGTACGAGAATAGGACGATTCTTATCGTTCATGGAGCTTGGCGATTTGGGCAGGCAACGAGCTAGCTAGTCAGTTCAGGCAACCAAGGAGGAAAAAGGAGATACAAGTGGGTGTGACAATCATGAGGATCATGGGACACGTGTCTTCCATCCCGGTCGATCGGCGACTAGACGAAGCTTTTTAGCTATCGGTGCCTCTCCTCTCCACCTACACAGCAGGACTCCGCTGCGACGGAAGCATTCAGGCAGCAGCGATGAAGCCTCCCAGCGCACCTAAACGGCAACGGTCTTGATGAGGCCTAGGCGCGCGACACGAGACTCCGCTCAAGCGCCACCACCTGCTCCACACGCGCCTACTTCCACCTCTGCCTTTACCTTGATATAGCTACCGTCCGGTGTACTAGATAGCTCGCCGCATCCGACTGGCGGTTTAAGCCACACTGCGGTGCCGTTGAATGCATACACATACACACATCGACGGTGTGAGTCGTCGTGGTTGTACAAGTGACATGTGAAATCTCCTCGGGGAAGCTTAAGAACCTCAAGCAGATTGCACCAGAGGAAGAAACCTGTTTGACATAAAATGGCAGTGCTGATATGGCCACGCTCCGTGAGCAGCTTAAGCGGGATATATATATACATATATATATTTTGCACCACATCTATCAAGAGGTAAAGCTCTCGCATGTGAGGAAATCAGAACAGTAAAAATCGAGTAAAATAAACGTGAATATCTATCATATATCACAATATTACAACATTTTTCAGGACAAAAACGGCCGAGTTTCTTCGGAAGGCACGATGCACGAGTCTAATCTGTCCTCCTCAAACCTCTATCAGGTAAAACACCGTAAGCTTGAATTGAGTCCTTATCACTCGAATAACCGCACTAGCGCGTTCTGGTGGCCTATATTTTGCCTTAAACGTACCTGTTTTGTTAAGCAAGAGCCTGCAGCCTTCACCTGAAGTCTGATGAACATGTCGTTCACACACAACGAGATTTGTCGGTGATCTTGTGCCTCGGATTCTGTAAACATACTTGATAGCTATGCGTTTCAAGTATAATTCTAGCTAGCCAACATATACTTGGGTAAGAGGCATGTTCATATGCACGTACGATCCGTATTTATTACTGCCAACTGCCTTTACAAGTCAAAAACCGATGTGAGGCCAAGATCCACTGACTTTTATAGAGATTTTTGCTTGCTTTCCTCAATTGAATACGCAACGAGGGCTGAAACGTTTTGAGTCAACGAGACCCTATATGATACTTTGTATGGAAACAGTGGTACGGCTTCTAAGCGTAAGAGAACTTGCTTAGGGTAGATCGTTCACGGTAGCAGCGCCCTTTTCTACAGTAACTGCTGACATCGAGGGGTGAATTCATATCATTGTTTATTTGTTTCGAAACTTCTCCCGGTTCGCGTTGGAAATGACGGGAGCTGCATTTACTATTGTTGGTAGATGAAAATGCTGTATACACCACTGGCGACCCCTAGGAATGAACACCCCCTATATTGGAGACGACCCTGACTCTGGCGTGGTATGAATGAATCACACGATTTAGCTGGCTCCGGGTAGGGCAGCATGATACAGAATCGTCGGTGTATCAGTAGCGCTAGTATGACGGAGGAGAATCATTCTTTATGATCTTTCGTTTCTGCTACGCATAGACTGGACTTACCCCAAGCGGAGCGCGCAACAGCCGCCGAATCCCGGAATCGAAATGATGTTTGCGTTCACTTTACCGCAGGACTCGAAACGATGCTAGGCTACTGCTTGAGAATTGCTCCCCACGACTAGCGGCAGGAGCAAAGGCGACGAGCAGCGTAAGAGAGTGCTGGTGGATCTTGGAGTCAGACGACTGGACCTGCTGCTCGGGCCGACCGTCGAGGACTTGTTGGCAAAACGCAATGTTCATCTTTCAGGCCAGGGATTGAATTGCTTTCGGCCATGCGTTCTTCACACAGCCGTTTCCACTGGGATACACAGGAACAAGCAAACGCTGCCAGAGGCAATTTTGGGAAGCTGGGCTTCAGCTAAACGGGACGCGGTAGTTTATACGGCTTGGATCTCTTTCTAGTGAATTAAAAAAAGTGCGCGCTTATCGTTGCATCTCAACAAGAAATCCACTTCTTTATCCGCACCACCGGACGATACTGAATACATTAGGTATAATTAGCGGAAGCTGATAACAAACCGTTAATGGTTTGCAAAAGCTTGCAACAATCACAAGCATGGGTTTGCCAGCTGCTAGCACTGTGATCAATTATCGTACATTAAATCCCTATC